TAAAGAGGGATTAAGCAAATTAATAGATAAAATCGACACCGGAGAAATGAAGGTCAAACACAAGGGCGACGCCATATTTTTAAAAAACATACGTTCGGGCGAGGGAATCTTCCTTTCAAAGTATAAAGGCAACGGGGTGATTTTTGGTACGAAAATGTAATAAACAAAAATGGGCAAGAAATTTAATCATTCGGAAATATTTCCTAATAACCCAATGCTATATGCGGTAGTTCAGGTTCTGGGAAAACTCATCTCACTTTTAACATGTTGACAACACCAAACCTTTTAGATTTCGATTCTCTGTATATCTACACAACAACACCAGAGCAATCGTATTATCAATTCCTCAAAGCTTTGGAATATTTACCAAAGAAAGACGTTCAAGACATATTTCAATATTACGAAGAAAACGAAGAAGAAGTGGAAATAAAAGATATCATAGAAAACTTCACTAAATCAAAGAATCCATCTTTCAATCCAACGGATATAAAAGTTTTTCTTACGAAAAATGTTAATGATCTAGACTTGTCTAATATTGATAGCAATCGAAAGAACTTAATATTGTTTGACGACTGCGTAGCGCAAAGAAATCAAACTGTTCAACAAGAATTCTTCACCAAAGGAAGACATCACAACTGTCACTGCATATACCAATCCCAATCTTTTTACGGGATGGATTCTATGTTCATTAAAAAAAATGCAAATTGTTTTTTATTATTTGAATTAAACGATAAAGATTTATCTCAAATCATTCAGTCTATAAATCACGGAATGGACAGAGATACATTTAAAAAGGTTTGTAAAGCTCAATGGAGAAACCCAGATGATCATGGATATGTATTTGTAAATACTAGAAAACCTGCGGGAGAAAGAGTTATGATCGATATATGTTAATTTTATTTTTTTAAAAATGAAGGATTGGAATAATTTTTTAAAAAGAAATAGAGAATATATCAAAGCTAAGAATAAAATAAAGACCCAAGTTGAAAATAACAGATTACAATAACTCGGATTAACGGAAAATCTACAGACTCTATTTCAACCCATATTAAAATCTCAAGAGGATATTAAAAAGAAATTAGCTTTAGAACCCACACCTCATATAGGACCCAAACCGATTGAATATAATGGTATTATAATTAGGACATTAGATGATATAAAACGTCTTTTTTCAAACCCTGACCCAGATTTACCAAAGAGTATTTCACCAAACGTTGATAATCAAGGTTTTAGATGGATGAATAATATTTAGTCCAAATTCCCCTTTATTCAAAATCGACACAAAAGACTTTATATTTACATTAACGAGAGGGTTAATAGATTTAATGAATGGCAAGGATTTTGAAATTGCCGATTACAAGGATTTAGTTGCATACTCAAAATTTCTACATGCAATAAGAAAGTCAGGACCCGAAACAAGAAGATTGAAAGAAGTTGATTTTTGTATAACAAGAGTTATTGAGGAA